ACCACTTTTCATCACATAGTTTCATCGTGAGAAGCTGGGAAACAAGGTCTTTTCGAGACACTGCATTATAAATGAATGGTAAAGAATCAGTAAACTAGAGTGAAAATAAAAGCTTCATTAAAGCTGCCGTAAAACTTGTTAAAAATCCCAAAGAAATATTTACTGAAATATGTGACATTTACAGCAACCAATGCCTGTTTTATAGACAAAAGAGCACGTGGATTTCAATGATAAAAAATATATATAATGGGCATCAAAAATGGGTACACTCCTTGCCAACAAAAATTATAACAACTTATGTACTGTCTGCCAAATTTCAACAAATAATATTTGATGATGTAAGATTGACTTTAAGAAACATAGCAAATTTGATAGACATCACATCGGGGGTAGTTTACACTGTATTTAAGAAACGTTTGAATATGAAAAAGCTTAGTACTCAAAGGTCACCCTATATTTTAAAAATGAGTGAAAACGGCAGTGTCTACGGAAGTCTTAATAATTATTTTATAATATCAGTAACTGTAGTTATCCACGTTTGTTTTATTTTCAAACAGATATTGAAACATGAATCTATTGCTTAAAACCCTAAAAACAAAATTTACCATAAAATGTACTTGATAAAAACAGCGAATGTCTGACAAGTGCACAGGAATGTAAGAGCACAAAGACAGATTTATATGTAATTTTCTTAAAACATTAGTGGTATTGTTGTTCAAAATCGTATTCGGAGAGACAGTTTATTTTCTGGAGGAGTCTAGAAAGCACTTTTTTGACCAAAATATCGAAAGGTTTATTAGAGGAAGGACACATAATCAGGAATCCACTACATTGAATTTCTTCAAGACCAGCGTCCAAACCCGCATTGTTACAACGCGAAATGTTATAACAACGCTAAATGAAATAAACCTGGATTAGTACATTTTGCGTTATTACATTTTGCGTTGATCTCGACGCAAAATGTAATAACGCAAAATATAATAATACGATTATAAGATTACTGTAAACCAACTTTTATTCGCGGAGACTCTATTACCGGGAGTAAAGTAGTTCGCGACGATTAATTTTCGCGAAAAAGCCTATTTTGTAACTGTTTTAATAGAAAATGAGACTTCAAGGACCCGTTCGCGGCGAGAAAAATTCGCGATGACCAGGCTCTCGTGAACTTCGCGAAAATTTCTCGCACGCGAATAAAAGTTGGTTTACAGTATTACATTTTGCGTTACTACATTTTGCGTCGAGATCAACGCAAAATGTAATAACGTCCTTTTTCGTTGTTACATTTTGCGTTATTTTATTTTTGCACTGAAGACAACGCAAAATGTAATATACGAGGGCTGTTCGGAAATTATTGAGACAATTACATTTACTCCATAAAGGACGAAGATAATTTCCTGAAAATTCATCAACATTTTATGAAGAACAAATTAAACAATTATGCAAAATTTTTAATTCCTATGATAATAAGAAAAGTTTCAGTGAAATGATAAACATGCATATGTCTATCGAGCCGGAGCAACATCGCATCGTCATTTAACGTCACGTCAGCTGGAGATGGTTTCGCATGTAAAACGATCGCGAAGCGTTTAATACTTTTCCTTCTTTGTTATTAGATATAACTTTACGAAAGTCAAACAGTCTCTTTTCTCAACCTATTCTTTAATAATGTATGGCGTTGCTACCCCAGTGTACAATTTTCATTTGTGGGAAAGGATGACTTAGAATCATGCAGTGCTGATTTATGCAACGCGGGTCATCGATATAAATACCGTAACGATATTAATATCGTATGAAATAACTGATGGTTGTGCGGTGCTTTTGATTTCAATCTGGTTGATTTAATTGTAAAAAAAAAATTGAATATCAATGAAAAAAACAACAACACATTACTTTTTTCTCGTTGTTATTGTTTTAGCAGGTCGTCCTTCTAGAAAAGAGTTCTACATTGCGATACACACAATTTTAGTAATGCTGGCTGCTCCGCCCTTGACGTCAAAATTCATTTTTTCGTTCTTTGCTGATTTCTCTACGCGCTTCATTTTTTAATTATCTCTGTATTTGTGTTCAAAATTCTAACAAAGTTGCACAACATGAATTTGAAATAAAGCTGAAAAATTATACACATAAACTGCATTATTTTCGCTCTAATTATGGGTCCACGAAGAGTTAGAACGTTGGTGTTACATATTTTCAGTAGCTGATTTCGTAACTGCTCCGGGTACCCCTACTATTGACGCATTTATGTAGAATTGTACAGAAAATATTTAAGATTTGTAAAATATTTTTTGCTTCTATTAATTCTAATTGTATGTCAAACGTATATGCAAAATTTCACCGAAAGACGTTCATTAGAAAGCAAAATACACGCAATGTCTCAATAATTTTCGAACAACCCTCGTACAATATGTAATAAAATGAAACAAAATTATTTTTTTCACTGCGTTTAACAAAAAAGAACATAAAATTGATCCAAATATATACATGTAACCAACATGGGAAACATATATATGCTATTAAAATATTTAGAACTAAAGCAATGAAACCAACGTTAGGGCTTTTACGGACATAAAATCATAAATACATCTAAATGTATCGTTTTTCTGACCCTGATTTTAGTTTTACATGTACTGAATGCACTGTACTTAATTATAGAGAATTGATTTACCTTTGATTGGCTATTTTTGATAGTCTTTTTAAATTTCTAACCAATAATACATAGTTAATTACCGAAGATTGACCATTGCCATTTGGTTCATTAAAAGCTCTTGATATGCATATTCGGCATGCATGTATACATTGGTTAACAAATTAGAAGTGTATGTTTGTGCCACGCGCGGTGGGGGGGGGGGGCAGGGATAGGATGCATGGGGTGTTTACTTCGTATGTTTATTATTGCAGTATTGTGGACATGCAGAAACAATCCATTTTATTACAGGATGGAAAGAAAGAGAGAGATAGCATTTTGTTTTTGCTCGTCTGCAATGCTGTAAATTTGCTTAGAACAGTACGGTATCATTATTGTCAATAAACCCCTTCCTGCTATACATTTTTACCTTTCAGTACAGATGAATAGTTTTTTTTAGATACATTGCATTAGTCTATAAAAGAAAGCAAAAGCACACTGGTCAATACCCCCAACAACCCTGCAAACAAATGCACGTTTCTAATTTGCAACACCTACAATTGTACATGTATAATTTGAACACATTTCTTAAACTGATTTTAAACACAAGTAGCTAATTCAATAAATCAATATATTATAAAATTATTAACTGTAAAAAATTGCGTAATTTTTTTTCCATTTGTTTTATTTTCTTTTCATCGACCACTACACTACTGAAAAATTGTGCTCAATCTGGCTGACGAAAAATTGTGTTATTACATTTTGCGTTTCTGGCTTTTGCTTAATCTCGACGCAAAATGTAACAACGCAAAATGTAATAATCCCAAATTCGTATTATTACATTTTACGTTATTACATTTTGCGTTGATATCGACGCAAAATGTAATAACGCGAAATGTAATAATCCACAAAAGTGTGTTGTTACATTTTGCGTTATTACATTCTGCGTTGATTTCAACGCAAAATGTAATAACGCAAAATGTTATAAATCAAGTTTATTACATTTCCTGTTGTTATTACATTTCGCGTTGTAACACCGCATGCCCTGAAGAGTTAAGGGGTTTCGGGAAAAACAAAAAGTTAATATTTTTTCACATTAACAATATTCACCAGATCTTTACCCTTTTGACTTGTTTCTATTACCAAACTTGGAAAAAACACCTTTCAGAAGGGAGAAACAAGTTCGGGAAATTATTGGATCTGCTATTTTCCAGTATACTAAGGGTCATACCTAAAAAATGAGTTCTACAAACGATCAGAAATTGGATAAAAAATGTTACGGACATGTACTTTACTTAAAAGATATTAATTGGCAAAATCATGAAGAATAAATTATTGAAAAGCGTCTTTCGCTTCTTTCTGAGCACCAAGGACATTATTTATTGAACAGCCCTCATAAGTTTTTCTCTATGGAGACTTTTCCTTTCAAGCTTTTCATCAGCATAATGGTGACTTTAGGAATGCGAAATTTTATTTCAATACGTATTTGTTTCAAAATATAATTTAAGTCCAATATACATGTATAGATTAATGTGAAAATGCAAAATCTGTCTTGGATATGTGGGGCATACAACTTTCTTGGGTTTTTTCACTTCTTATTATGCCTCTTTTCATCAACTTAAAAAAAAACTTTCAAAAAAAGTTAAATAGTAAGAAAAGGCTCTCTGAACAAATACGTTTGTCGGAGAAAATAACTGAGTGTACCAGTTGGTTCCTTAATTTAACATTTGCAAACAAAGGAATAGATGCGCTGTGAACAATAGTAACATAAATGATAATAAGAGGCCAGTCTTCTTCAACCATATTTTAAGTTGAAATAAACCCTCTTCATTTCCCAAAGATGTTGTGTTAGAACTTTTTTTTCTATAAACAAAGTTTATGTACAGTGCCTACATCCTCCGTCTCCATTGTTCTTAATTCCTCTTCCTCTTTCCTATAATGTCCCGCTGGACACGTTAGTTCTAAATGTGAAGCTCTTTATTGGTTTATTGTGACGTTCAGGCATGCTTTATTATATCTGTATAATATATCATGATTTTCTTTATTTTCAATTGGTCTTGTTATTTTTATACAAAAAATGCTGGTATTTATGTAAGTAATTACAAATTTCTTCACGTCCCACACTGGGATTATGCACATGCCAATACGGTACTCTATATCTATTAAGAACATCAAATTTAGGCCATTGACCACATATGTTTTTTTTTTTTTATTGTGACAAAGCCTATTATGACACGGGACCCTGGTTTTTATTAGATCTCATCCGAAAAACCCGTGACTTTCACGTCTCATGCTGCCGATGCTTAGCGAAGGAACACTCATAAACTGTATATATATGTCGATACAGTGCACGTAAAACTTCAATATGACATTTTTTCAGATTTGATTCTTAAAACAAATAAATTATAACAAATTTGATCACTGTGGATTGATTTTCACTTCCGTTGGCTGTTCCATTTAGAGAGCGTTTACCGTGATGTGCACACTCACATGAGTTATACATGCCGTCAGTGGGGGTGTTATATCACTTACATGATACAATCTTCCACGTCTTTTCCGGGTTGTTCCAACCTAAACGCGAAATTTGATTGGCGCCATTTTCCAAGACGAAATGGGCAACGTAGCCAAAGTCGTTGTGTCCGTTACCATAGGGACCGCGTCCCTGGTTACACCAGTTCTGGTTGGGGTAAACATTAGGACACAGGTTGGTTACCATGAAAACCTGGGATTGCCCAGTAGGACTTGGGCCCCCTTTACCGGGCACCCAACCCCCTGTAAGGAAAAATATATAGGTACTTATAGTGAAATAGGTATAGTATTGCACTATAGAGTCTGACTGAATTCAAGTTCTTTTTTCTTTTACATTTTAATGGAACTGACTGCTTATATATTGATTCCTGATGTTAAAGTCTCTGTAGGCACACGGCATAATTGGAATAGTTTAAATTATTATACTTCTACAGTCTCGTTTAAAGAAATTGTTCCGTAAGTTCTGTGACCGATACAATGACCTTGTCAGCAAATACAATTTATCATTGAGTCACATGCTGACTGATGTTTTTCATACTTATTGTTAGTCCACTATTGATACACTGAATTGACGACGGATTTTTTCCGTTATTTCCCGATCATGAGAAGGAGCACACGGCGGGTGCGGCCGGTGAGCAGGGAATGTTCACTCCTCTATAGCACCTGATCCCACTTCTGTGTTTGCTCTGTTCCTATTTTGTATTGTTTTATGGGCTTTGATATTGAAAACTGTTCGTTATCTCCATATCCTTCTTGATGCATTTACCAATGATTGTTAGTTTAATGCATTTGCCTAAGATTATTTTGGTTTGACGCAATTGGTTATTTTTGTTATTTTGACGCATTTACTTGTGTTTTTCATTTTGACGCATTTACCTGTGGCTGTCAGTTTGATGCATTTACTTGTGATTGTCTGTTTGACTCTTTTTACCTGTGGTTGTCAGTTTGACGCATTTTCCACACCTCTGACCACACCATCCGCCGTATCCTTCATCAAAAAACATCTGATTAGGGGCGGTGACGAAGTGGTCATGGTTCCAGCCAATCTGGCTGTCTCCGTGGCTGCACTCGCACATTAAATTGAGTGATACGCATTAGGTATTTAATAAATATAAGGATGCACACTAATAGGCTTGCTTCGGGTGCTGGATTTGTCAAAATATTTTTGGATGAGTAAATGTGTTAAAGTTTCGAAGCAGCTTCATCCTAAAGATTTGGCCAAATGTGCAAAGATTATTCATCTTTGGATGCAACCAAACAAAAAGATCTGCTTTGGCTACTGGATCTGACATACATTTTTTTCAAGACAATGGACCAGGTCAAAATTATGGTTTCAGGTCTTCCCTAACAAAACTAGAGGTACTGAGAGCAATGAGCTTACTAAATGAAACCCCGCCTTCCATATGATTTTAACTGATGACAAAATTCATGTTTTGCTGTGACCGGGAAACCCAAATTGTGGGTCGGATGAAAAAGTAAAATAGGAGGTGCACAATGGCAATATATAATACAGATTTTGTGAAAGTTCGATTAAATTTCACTTATTGGTGTAAAAGGAGTTGCGGATAAGAGATGTGTACCCTAACGCGTAACAGACGGACGGACGAACGTACAGACGGACGGACAAACGGACGGAAATCCTGATTACTATATACCCTCTCACTTTTCAAGCTTTTCAAACTACAGTAAATCAAAGTTTCAAAGTTTTAACTATTGTTAATCAAAGTCCCAAATATTTGTACCCTAGTAAATCAAAGTTCCAAAGTTTTTACTATAATAAATCAAGGTTCCAAAGTTTTTGCCATAGTAAATCAAAGTTCAAAAGTTATTATCATAGTAAACTAGAGGTACTGTGAGCAATGAGCTCACTAAATGACCCCCCCCCCGCCTCCCATATGAATAAAGTGGCAGTGCACATGTTTTGCTCTGGAAAATCCAAAATATATGTCAGATCAAAAAGTGAAAAAGGAGGTGCACAATGGCAATATGTAATAAAGATTCTGTGAAAGTTTCATTAAATTTCCTTCAGTGATATGAGAGGAGTTGCGGATTAGAGATGGGTACCCCAAAGCGTAACAGACGGACGGACGGACGAACGGACGGACGTACAGGCGGACGAAAATACCGATTACTTTATACCCTTTTCAAGCGGGGGGTATAATCAAAGTTCGTAAGTTTTCACCATAATTTTTTTTATTTTTTTTAACAAATTCGCCTGTTTTCAAAATAGGACAATTTTTCCTCTAGATATGTCTACAGACTGTATATTTTTTCAAACCAACTTTCTTTTTTAAATATCTCTTTCATATTTTCTGTAAGAGGTCTTCAAATAGCATATGCATATGAATGAATTTCGTACGTTTTACGGAACGTCATAATGACGTTGTGAATTTTAACACTTGTGTCTCATTATTAAAGTGGTAAATATTTATTAATTGATGTGTATTTCACAAAAAATGTACATGTATAATACATTATATTACAGATAGTACTTTGATATTTTATTAATAAAACATAACTTTGAAATTATAACAAGCTTAGGTACATGTACAAGTGAAAATGACAGCGTGTCTGTTCAGCGTGTGCTTATCGCGGTGCACGTAAATAGTCAAATCCACTGTAAAGTTTCATTATTGACTTTGATAATGTTTTATAATAATAATTTTGTCAATAATTTACACAAACTTTATGCATTTGATATTTTAATCAACCTGTAAAAAGCTTAACCCAAGCCCAGGCAAGTAGAAACGGGGGAGGGGGGAGGGGTTAAAAGCACTTCATATAATGATAAATTTATATAATGAAAGTTGCACATACATGTAATATAATGCATATCTACATCATATAAAGAAAGAAGTACTATGTATAATGGAAGTTAGACACGATATTCTGTAAAAAAAAATTCTTCATTTACCAGTAATTAAAATAGTACTGCATATAATGAAGAGAACACTGCATATAATGTTTATTCCTCATATAAAACAGTCCCTACGTTCCATACACATTCTTCAATCAAAAAGTTGCCCCCCTTTCAAATTAAAAAAAATTGTTCTATCCTAATATCATTAAGCCTTCTTCAAATGTAACACTTTGTAATGCAGCGGTATAATATTAAAATTATTGATATGATTTTAAGGGAAATGGCCACATAAACTCATAGAAAATGAACTAATATAATTTCCTATCAAGATGCAAATTCATTTTCAAGTTGCATTTTATCGGAACTAATAAAACAAAATAGAGACAATTAAGTAATTGTTATTAGAGACATAGGCGTCGGGACTAGTGAGGACTTAGCTACCTTTTCCAACATTTTGAAAAGATATAAAATATTAAGTATCTTTGACACAAGAGGGGGATATGTGGCTAGGCCCCCTCTAATCCCGCTAGTGGGCATCATTTAGTGAACTCGGTGCTCAGGGTAGCTCTAGTTATTGGGAAGGGGGGAGGGTCAGTGCAATTTGTACGATAATTGTGAATATAAATACCCGATATAATTCATATATTCAATATAAAATAATAAACATCATACAAACTAGCATTTTAAAAATAAAAGGCAAACAATATTCACCTTTAAGCACGTTTAATGTTATTGAAATAGTGGCGAAGTAAAAAAAAAAAGGGGGGGGGTTCGGCCATGATATTCAATCGCAGAAAAATATATCCCGACCGGGATACATATATCTCAAATTTTGCCAGTCCTGACACAGATTTCATTTGCACCAATCACATTCTTTGTTGAATTCTGGAATTTTATGTCTGTCAAAGAAGTCAGAATAACTGTTTAGTCACTCAACGCATCACTTTGTCGATTCTAAGCACATGCCTTTGGATCGCTAAAAAAAATGTGTGTATTTTTTTTCTAAGCGATTCTAAGTGTATAATATATACTTTCAAGCAAGATCTGCGATAACACAGTGGATAAGATAATAATCAGAGAAAAAAGATTTTAAATAAAAATTTCATGAGTTTATACACATGTTAAAATTTCTGATGAGCGATGTCGGAACGTACTTTTTTACCACTCTTTTTAAAACATATGTCAAAATTATTCATTTATTAATCACAGAATCAAAACAGAGATTGGAACCACAGGCACCTGACTTTTTTCCTTTAATAAAAAATACAACTGTATACCCATACCTATATGTTGCCTTTTTAACGGGATGCTTATTTTGTTTGTCAGTTATAGATATCCCTACTCCTAAAGCATACTCATGGAAACAAGGCCACAGACTTGGGCTGGCATATTTGAAAATCATGATTTGATGAATATACTAGTATATTTGTATATATTTACTAAGAATAATTTTTGAAAAGCAGAATTTACAATATTAATCTCTCTCTCTCTCTCTCTCTCTCTCTCTCGGGACATATGCTGACAATCTTTTAATAAATAAACTAAATGAAAAATATCAATATATTAGAAAAATAAAATATAAACATAAAAGTATTCAGTAAACCAACCACTCTACGCGACAATGCATGATAATGATTAAATTATGTAAAACACAGAATAATGACTACATGTAAGCCAACATGTACTTACGTTGAATAGTAATAAATCAATATTGTTTATTTAAATTTTCCGCATTACATTTTTCAAAAATTTAAAAAAAAATTATATTTTTTGAACACCTAAAAATATTACATATACCGTGACAATCATCACATACATGTACGAAACATATTGCAAGTCTCTAGCCTATACTGCGACTTTGACGTCATTTTCTGCACATTGTGACGTCAAGAGAAAAATATTGACGGCTTATCAAATGTTGAAAAAAAAGCAATATTAGACCTATTATGGTTATAACCTGGTCACTGTGGAGGGCTTCTGTTAAGCAATGATCAAGAAGAGACATGCAAATGTGGAAAGCATAGACTTTTATAAATAACACGAATACATTTATCCAATTTTTCCAATGTTTTTTTAACTACTGGGCTATTAAAATTCTGTTTAGTCTACTATATTTACCACATATAAATAATGTATTAATGCTAAAAATGATTCATGATTATGTTTATATAATTTACAGTAACTTTTCTTATGATAAATTAAATCCTTGCAATGTGATGTTTTTCATAACAAGAAATTATATAAGGTAACTCAATGCTTTTTGCATGCGCCAGCTGACCAAACGGCATTCATAAATATTAATTTCAAACATGGGGCGCATTCCTCTCGGAGAAAAAAACTTGTTCAGAAATATGCGTAAGATACCAATGTTTGATTTTATACTTGAATTTATTTCCGAGAGGAATGCGCCCCACCCGAAATTTTAAAATGAATCTGTAAAATCTGTGAAAAATTCCGGAAAACTTAAAACCTTCATAGGTTTTGGACGTTACAATGCAAAAACCAACATGCAGTTTGACTAAAACTACCCATCCCTGCATTGACGAAGTTGAGTAGATAGGGAAACCACAAATAGTTTTAATGAAAACGATGATTTATTTTTTAAGAAATTCATAGGCCATATATTGTACTTTCTGACTTTTGTTCTTAAGGCCATTGACCACATATGTTTTCTTTATTGTGACAAAGCCTATTATGACACGGGACCCTGGTTTTTATTAGATCTCATCCGAAAAACCCGTGACTTTCACGTCTCATGCTGCCGATGCTTAGCGAAGAAACACTCATAAACTGTATATATATGTCGATACAGTGCACGTAAAACTTCAATATGACATTTTTTCAGATTTGATTCTTAAAACAAATAAATTATAACAAATTTGATCACTGTGGATTGATTTTCACTTCCGTTGGCTGTTCCATTTAGAGAGCATTTACCGTGATGTGCACACTCACATGAGTTATACATGCCGTCAGTGGGGGTGTTATATCACTTACATGATAAATCTTCCACGTCTTTTCCGGGTTGTTCCAACCTAAACGCGAAATTTGATTGGCGCCATTTTCCAAGACGAAATGGGCAACGTAGCCAAAGTCGTTGTGTCCGTTACCATAGGGACCGCTTCCCTGGTTACACCAGTTCTGGTTGGGGTAAACATTAGGACACTGGTTGGTTACCATGAAAACCTGGGATTGCCCAGTAGGACTTGGGCCGCC